ACTTTATTTAAAATATTTTCATAGAAAAACAGTAAAAAAAAAAATTCATATAAATTATAAATAATAAATTCTGTATTTCTTATAATGTACAAATATTTTAAATATTTTAAATAAAATAGAATATTTATATTATAATATTAACGTCTATGACAAGTTTTATAATAATTTATATAAAATATTTATGGTGTTGCTTGTAATGTTTCATGTGAGATCGATAAGTGACACACATAGGCCTATATAAAATTTAGGAATATTTTTAGTACATAAATCAGATTTTTAAGGGTTTCTGAAAGCAAAATATTGCAAGAAATACGCGAAAAATATTAATAATTAGAAGAGATTCCTTTAAAAATGCAAATTTTTATCATATATTTTTTAAATTTTTATTTTTAACCGGTTGTCGGCTTTCCTGCATTGAATAGAAAATTTTTGCTTTTTTTATAAAATTCATTTTCTAGAAAATGTTCAATTTCATATGAAATTGGCACGTTTTTAACAGATTAATTCGTTTCTTGTGTTGAAATAGATTAATTATTAAAAATAAATTAATTTCATTTGAAGAATTCATACACGTGGGTTGAAAATGACAACTTTTCTTACTTTTTTTTTAAAATGTCATTTACATAAAAATACACAACAATTAAAAATTACAATTAAAAAATTGACAAAAGTTGTAGTTTTCAACTGAATTTTTTAATTGTTAAAAGAAATTGAAATAATTATTTTTTAGAAAACGCAGAAATTAAATAAATCTTCTCGCGAAGCTACAAAGAAAATTAAATAAATAAAAAATAGCAATTTTTAATTTAACTCAAAAAAATATTTACAATATTAAAGTAAAATTAAATAATAATAATAATAATTATTTTTATACAAAACTTACAGTAAAACCTGTTTAAATCAGAATCGCAGGGTATCGAATTTTATTTCTGTTTAGGCAGGCTTTATTCAGGTTTCATTTTCGACAGGTTTTACTGTATTTTCNAAGTGGTGACAAAAATTTAAAAAATTCTTTACTAAAAGCAGAATAAAATACAAAGAAATACGACAAAATCTGTGTAAACTGGTATTATACTGTAGCAAATTTTTTTCGTTTAAACCGGTTTTCATCTTACACAAATTTTACCTGATTTTCTAAGAAATTGGCAACAAAAATTTTTAAAAATCTTCACTAAAAGAAGAGTAAAATTCGATGAAATAAGAGACAATTTAACGGATACAATAAAACCTATGTAAACCGGAATCGCATGTCAGCCAATTTTTTTCGCTTAGGCAGGTTTTCGTTTTAGACAGGTTTTACAGTACTTTCTATAAATAAAAGTGTGAAGAAAAATTGAGAAAAATCTTTATCAAAAGAAACAAAGGAAAAAAAAAACTAAAAACTTCAAGCACAGAACATCCAATTTAAAATAAAAATTTTTGAAATTTTACAAATTGTTAGAAGAGCCAAAATTCTGCTAAATCTTCATTAAAATAAGCCTAAGAAAAAGCATAAACACAGAAGATTTCTAGTGTATTTAACAATGAGTTGTGCCATTATTTTACAAGGACTTTGAAAATAAGAAGTCTTAAATCAGCAAGAAAGAAGAAGGAATTCCTCTTGTTCTTTTGTAATAAACAGAATAATAACAATATAAAAAAACAAAGGATTTTTGTTTCTTGTAAAACTAGCAATTTTGTAGGAAGAGTAAAAATTGTTATAGAAGAATACAATCTGGTTTCTGGTATATACCAAAGAGGAGGAGGGAGAGGGAAAAAATAAAAGAAGTACAGTACATAGGAGTTGAAGTATAAGAAAGAAGGAAACTAAGATACGCACACAGAAATCCCATATAGTTTTGTTGACTTTGGAAGCCGAGAGGATAAGAAAACGACAGAATATCTGGTGTAGTATGTGGACTATACCCCCAAGCAACAAACAAGGATCCATAATTAGTTCTACTGAGGTATGTAATATTCTGTACAGCTGGACTTCCCTCATCCCAAGAGATGCGTTCTCGATATTATCTAAGATTCTTTCTTGTGTCATCCTCTTGCCATAAATGGAAATAATGAGGTAGAAAATAAAATATTTCCAGTTACTTTAACTGTTTAAGTGACGTGGGAATTATTAGGTAAGATGTTTGTGAACGTGTAATTGTTTACTGTCTACTTTATTAAATTTTATACTTTAAAATGTGTTTTTTTTTATTTATAAAATTTTCTGTAGTAAAGTGTGCTTGTATCACAAATATCATTATTTCTCATCCCTGACTTATAGCCTCTTGTTCAGTCAATCATCATCCCGTACCTTACAATCTTTTGTTTAATTAATCCTCTTAATCCGTTTATTTCGATCTTAAGGAATTCATCTTCATGATCCTTACTCGTTAGTCTCTTCTTAAGCTTATCTTATGACGTTTTCTCACTATTAAAATTTTTAAACACATCTTATGATCTTTCCTCACACTTCCTAATCCTTTGGTTAAGTTAATCTTATGATATTTTTTCGCCTTTACCTTATAAATCTCTCTTATGCTTACCTTACGTCTCTCCTTATAGTCCTTTTATAAGTTTACCTTAAGATCTTTTCTCACATCTTAAAGTCCTTCCTTAAGTTAAATTATGGTCAATTCTCACTTGCCTTTCTTGAATTTACCTTATAATTTTTCCTTACTTAAAGAGTGTATACTCCTTAAACTTATCTTACGATTCTACCTCACCCTTATCCTATAATCCTTTTTCTTACATTCTTATTCGCACTGTAATCCTTACTCACCTTTATTCTGTAATCCTTTCGTTCGCACCCTTATCTTATAATCTTTTTCACCTATTCCCATAATCCTTTCTCACCCTTATTCTGTAATTCTTACTCACCTTTATCCTGTAACCGTTTTCTCTCATCCTCATCTTCAATCTTTTCTCATCCTTATCTTTAACCCTTTCTCATCATTGTCCTGTAATCCTTCGCACGCTTTTTCTGTAATCCTTTCTCACCCTTTTCCTCTAATCCCTATCACTCTTATCCTGTAATCCCTTATCCTTATAAGCATTCCTTCTAGAATCTTTTACTGAACTTGCATTATTGATCCTTCCTCATCTCACCTTACCCTCCTTCTTCAACTTAATCTTATAGTCTTTAGCACACTCGAGAGTTCAATTAAATGGCCATAAATCTTAATGTTGCTTTAAAAAGTAAAACAGAAAAAAAACGTAGAAATTAATGTCACAAATCTTTCACTTAATCAAATTTCGATCAGGAAATTGTTACAAATGTTAATTGAGGGGGAAGAAGGGGGCAAGACGACGAGAGACAGAGGAAAAGAGTGGAAAAATGGTAATGGGAAGTGGGGTTTATTCTCGTTGAAACCGAGTCATAAATCACTATTAAGAAAGAAGTAGAGGGGTGATGTGTTGAAACGAAGTAAATCTGTCGTCACGTGGAGATTGGTGAGTCAATCATCTGCTTTCGTTTCAAATCTTCTGCAAGTTTTAAGGATGATGCTTAAATGCTCCCCTTCACACTTAATTAGTCGACTTAATGGTAAACGTCATACACGAGATAAAGAAAAGGAGGATATTTTTATTATTTTCTGAAGATTTCTCTGGCTTTTTATAACATACAAAGGCTCCATTATCGGGGTATTTTTTCGCAAAAAATGAATGCATTCTTTTTAATATAAATTTCTTAACTTATTGCAAGAGAAATCATCATCATTTATAACGTAATTTTACAGTTTTATTTTATTAACTGTCTTATTTAAAAATATGCTCTGTCTCTCAGCTTTGTATTATAGTTATGTGATTCTTTGGATAGTTATTACAAAAGAATATTTGTTTTTTCCCTCCTTTTGATCTTCATCATCATACTCGTTTTTTTTATCTCTTCTCTCTATCCTCATCGCTTTACTCGTTCTTATTTTCTCCATCATTTTTATTCTTTTCTTTCCTTTATTACTTTTCTTATTCTTCTCCACTCGAATATTTTCATCTTTTCCTCTCCTCCATCCTTCTTTTTCTCTTCAGACTCATTATCTTTTCCTCATCCTTTTATCATTTCATTCTTATCTTTTATCTATTCTACTTTTTCTTCTCTTGTTCCTTTTCCTCTTTATCCTTAGCATCCCCTCTTTTTCTTAATGCCTCTCATCCTCTTCACTTCTTCCTCATTATAACTAGCATTGAAGCATGACTTTTAGTGAATTTTCTAATGCTATTGCACCATTATCATTGAAGTTATACGAAAACAAAGCAGAGAATAAGAAATAATTACTTTTGTTACTGTAAATAAATTTAAAAGGATGAAAACTGTCCATTAAAATTATTATCATTATCCTTTACAATGTATAAGAAGATTAACAGATTATTCTAAGAACAAAGTAGTACTTTCATATTTATTAATGAATTTGTTACGCTAATAGCATGAATTTAGCTCTAATAAGCCATAAGGATGATAAAGGAATTTCTTTTCATGTTCAATTTGTTACTATAAATGCACTGAAGTCACGTGTCACGCATTTGTTTAATGCTCCCACAAAAAGTGACAAAAATAATTAAATCTATGATGAGAAGACAGTGTTAATTATTGATTTTAAGCTAAAAATACCATGTTTTTTTTATGAAAATTATGGCTTAAGAGAAGAAAAATATAATTTAAACATGGAAAATGTGAGATTTCTTATGTTTATTTGCAATTTTTAGCTTGAAATTTCTACATTGAGGGTTATAAAGTGATAAAGAGGATGAAGAGAAAGAAAAGATGAGGATGAAGCAAAAGGATGAAGAAGAGGAGGAAAGATAAGATTGAAGGAAAAGAATCGAGAACAGGAAAGATGCTTAAATTTATTATCGTTTCCAGCATATTTAATAAAAATTAGTATATTTTTAAGAAATTTTAAGCATAGTTTAAACACTATATTAGAAATTACTATGCAATTTTCCATTTTTAAGCGTACAAACTGATTAATAATAGAAAAATGGAGTTTATAAAGAGCTTTATACGAAAGTTCCTCGTTTTCTTACATTAGAAAGTTAATTATATCATTGAAATAATCATTTTTGAGTGCATAATAATGTTAATTTTGCAGAAATTACATAAAATTATGCCCTCAGAAACAATTGAGATCACTTTTAATTAGCAAAAGATCTCATAAACTCAAAAGCAGAAGTAGAGAAAGTGAAGGGAGTAACACAATGGATATCCATAGGGAGAAAAATTGCAATTTCTATTTATACAAACGTTTTAATTGCTTATTTTTTTATTTGTATAGAAGAAAGTGAAGTGAAAGAATTCTTTTCGAGCTCTTCTGCTGCTAAACACTTGGAAAAAATTGGTGATTCCAAGCGTGGAATCCAATCAACTCCTTCTCTTCTTCGGTTAACCGCATCTAACCAACTTATTGCTAGATGACGGATTTCTCTCTTATTTTTTATTGTAGACACGATCAGATAGATAGAGAAATCACATGACCAGATGGTAAGTAAGTAACTTTAGAAATAACTGAGAAAAAATAACAAGTAAATGTGCCTACTCCCAAAAAACAAATCAAACTTGCTCACTCCTAACTTCATTTCCACAAAGATGCTGCACACTTCATCCTTAAAGAAAACATTCTTCTCTAATTTAATCAGTACTTTTCATATATATTTTTACCTTCTAAACAGCTGATGTTTGTTTATTTTTACATTCCTTTCATCTGCTTTATTCATTATTTTATTATATTTAAATTAACAATCAATTTTAGTGAAGAGTCCTAGAAGATGCTGCAGGATGTCATCTATGTTATCAGCATCACAAGAGGAGAAATTTCTACAAGAACTTTTAGATTTTAATGGTAGAAATTATTAAAAATAATTTGTGTATTAGTGAATTTTAATAGTATATAAGAAATTAATTTCTTTTAAAATAAAATTTACCGTTTCATTTATGTTAAAATCTTGATTTATTTGATGTATGAAGCTAAGAATTGACAGAAACTCGAATGAAGAGAAAGAGACGTAGGAAGTCGTTCAAATATGCAGTAGATGCAAAGTAATAAACGTAGGGAATCGTTTAAGGATAGGAAAGACTCAAGAAATGCATAGAATAAAGAGCAAGAAACGCAGGGAATGGTTTAAAGATGCAGAGCAAGACCCATAGGAAAGCCCTTAAAGATAGAGATGAAGAAAATGCACAGAATCATTTAAAGATGTAAACTGAAGGATAATTATTTAATGAGAAAAAAGATCACTTGCGTACAAAGAAGTAGAAAATTCTAAAAAATTTTAACGAAAATATCACTAACAAGTATAAAAAATACACATACAATATTAGAGATGCGAATGATGCAAAATATTCCTCTTTCATCTCCTGCATCTTCCACATCTCTAGCATCTTAAATATAAAATTTTAAATGAAGATGCGGATATTTTCATAAAGAAAACGATCGATTATATATATATATATATAAAGTCTTTAAATATAAGTAGAGTGAAGAGAAAGAAAGTAAGAAAGGAAATCTTATTTCTACTCTTTCCATCATCTCCCATCCTTCTCTCACCTCACCAGATTTTAAAAATTCATGTTGTTCGGCAGTTTGTCTGACTGTAGAAGAGGAAAAGGAAAAGCAAATACAAGAAAGTTTTTTTTATTTTTTTTATTTTTTTTAACAGGTTAATTCACTTTGTGTATACTCGTGCCATTCGCGGATCGGCTTCTTTCTTTGATCCTCCTTCTCTTAAAAGAAACTCCTGTTGGAGGGATAATCTAATTTCCGAGCGGGGAATGTCCCCGCTGCACGTGACAGAAATATACCCCAGTTTCCGATAACACAACAAGATTGTACACACTGTCACGTGATGAAAGAATCTTAAACGAAGAAATCGAATGAAAGTGATGCGGGATGCGGCACGAGTCGCGTGGATTCGAGCCCTGTTTCTAACATTTAGCGGGCCTCTTTCGGGGGTCACGTGACTCGAGGGTAATTGGTGACGTCACGTGATCAAAATCCTCCACGTGGTTTTTGATCAATTGGCTCACCTGACTTAAAATGAATACGTAACACAGGCGAGGCGATCACGTGATAAAATTAAAATTGAACTTAATTGCTGTAACGAGATCGTCGATTCAAAATTAATCACGTGGCAGGCGTAGAGGGCTAAGTGTAAACACGTGATACACTGAATTATCAAGTGCTTCAACGTGTAAGAGCGTTAGGTTGAAGTAATGGGTTCGAAGTAAGGAAATACAGTTTTAATTCTCGTATCCTAAATTGATAAAGATGCTAGCTCTCAAGTGATGCTGAAGATCATTTTATTGGCAAATTTACGTAATTAACCTTATAATTTTCGAATGAAACTTACAGAAAATTGAGAAAAGGGAGACGAGGAATGGGAGGAACGTCATAATGCCACGTCTGTTCGAATGTAAACACAAGAAAAGAAGAATGTTAATAAAATACTCGTAGATTGGTTGTAGAGAAAATTGCCTTTTCCTCTCTCTCCCTTCTTCTTCTTCGTCTTCCTCTTCCTCGTTTTCTTTGATGAAAGGACACCGCATCCTAAAGAAAAGAATACAATAACACCACCTTTATATAAGGGTGACATGCTTCCGAGAAAAAATATTGACACTACACGATGAAAAAAAGTCTCCCCCCTACTCCAATCTATCTCCTGACCTTACTGTGTCACGTGCCTCGTGTTAATTCCCGTAATCTTTACACACTACTTTAATAACGAATTACTGTTTCTTGACCCTAATTTAAGGAGTACGCGCTAATAAAAAACAAAAAGATTTCAGGGAAATTCACGTGGTAAAAATTAAGGCATTCGAAATCACGTGATGGATTCGAATTCGGAATGCTTGACCAGAATTTACGCACGTGATACCACCAAATTGACGAAATTTGCGTCGCGTGACGGGCTGATGTATTTAAACACGTGACACAATTTAATTAGCCAAGTGTGAGCACGTGACGAGGTGGAGACACGTGAAAAAGATAAAATTTGGGATGAATTTAGTATCATGTGACAGGGTTCACTTTGGGAGAAATTGAAGCACGTGAAAAATCTAAATTCAAATTTAAAAATCTATAATTTTAGAAGTAAATCTGTACATTTTCTCTTATTTCATTGAAATTTTTATATCTCAAAAGATGTAAATTTCATGAAATTATATTGAAATGTCCCCTATTTTACTTAAAAAGCTCGTAAATATCACGAAATTATAGAGAAAACCTTTAATAAACATGCATTTAATTTACGAATTATTATAAGAACCGACAAACAGAACGTATGCCTAGTATTAATAAATGTTTTATCGTTTCTATGCATAAAAACGTATAATAAAGTTGAGAAAACAAACAATTTAACTCGTTTCATGTTATAAAGTTGTATAAAATTCAATTGCACACCTTTTAGAAAGGGCAACTCAAGAAGATAATTAACATCCCTTTAATGTGTTTTACACTTTTTCACATGAAAATTCAAGTTATTTGGCTCTTTATTTATCTTCCAGACAGTTAAACACTTGAATAAATGTTAAAAATATTTACTTTTTATTCCTTTATTAGCATTGAGTGTAAGGAGTTTTCTTGCTACAAAATATTCACTTCTAGCCATTTTTACGCCTTCTAGAAGTGAGAATTCTAGCAAAAAGTCTGCTCTTTTGTATTACAATCCTCTCATTTGATAAATTAGTTTGTACTTTTCTGTCTATCATTATTACTTTCTAAGTGTATAAGTGTATAAAAATGAACGTGTACAGGTTGAAGAAGATGAAAATTTTAGCACAATTCCTTAAAACATCAAAAAAGCATCCTAAAACTTATCTTTAACAACACTTAAAACGTTAATTAAGGAAACTCCATTGTATAAAAAGTGCTAGAAAATTAACCCCTCTCTATAAGGACACAGCATTTTTCTGCAACTTATCAGCATTTTATAAATAAAAAGAAAAAAAATACATTTAACAAACTTAAATTTCGTAAAAAAAAAGAAGAATTTTATTTAAATATTCATGATTTTATATTAAAAAAAATTAAATATTTTAACACTTTTATTGACTCGGGGGTCTTAAAAATTAAAAAAAAAACTAGACTTTTTTCCCTGTATGTGTGAATATTAGTGTGTTTATGGGGTGTTTGGGGTGTGTTTGTGAAGACAAAGTTTTGTTCATCCACTTTGAAGCTTAATAATTCCTGTGCCCTTTGTCCAAAATTTCTGAAATTCGACAGGGATGTTTGTCTATTAGGGGTATCGATGCTGTTAAAGTTGAGAGGTTAAAGGTCAAACGGATGGGGAGATTTTGTTCACTCAATTTGAAGATTAATAACTCCTATTTTGTTCGTCAAAAATTTCTGAAATTTTGCAGGGAGATTTATTTATTGAAGGGATTGATAATGTTAAATTTTGAAGGTTAAAGGTCGAAGGGGTAGAAAGATAGAAGAGGTAGGGCCGGACTTAATAAAGATTTTACTCGTTATTAGCATTTACAATTATTTATAAATCTCATCTCTACCATTAAAATGAAGCTTTTTGCCATTTTATAATAGTTAAAAATAGTGTAAAAATTTTTATTAAAAAAAATTTAAATAATTTTTACAGTTTTTCTTACAAGAAACATTGGCAAGTATTACAAGATCCGTATATAAAAATTCACATTGTAAAGAAAGATATATGTGCATTGCTTTCTTTATCATTCACCTGTTTGCATTTGTTCATAATGTCATATTGAAAAAATATCATTTTATGATATTTTGGCTGAAAAACCCCTTAAGAAATAAAGAAAATTCAATGCGGACTGGAGGGGTGCCAATTGTTTAGATACTCGACAGATTCTATAACATTGACAAATGGAAGAAAGTGGGTGATCGAAGTTGAAGAAGAAGAAGAAAGAAAGGAGAAAAAAGAAGATGACCGAGGATTGTCGTAGATTTTCAATAGAAATTTTGAACATCAGAAGTAGCCGAGTTGGCAAGATGACAAAGAAATGTCAAATGAAAAGGATTTAGGGAGAATTTGTTTGATGTCCAACTTTCCCTATTATCTCCATAACACTATCGATTTTCTTTCCATATCTGAATTTTTATAGTCGAATATTATATTATTTTTTTGCTTTTTATAAAGATCCTGAATCATTTTTTAACATGCCATAACATTATGGCTTATTCATGATATATTTTATAAAGAAAAATTTACAATTGTCATACGACGTTTGCTATTTTCAAAAGTCTATAAATTAGAAACTATTCATTGTGATTTAATGAAAATTTGGGCATTTTATCAGCAAATATTACTTAATTTATCGTATTAATTTCGACTTCATATCTCTTACTGTTCACGAGTTACAAATGCATAAATACGTGACTAAAATATTGTACTTTTATGGATTTTCAAACGGAATTTCTCTTAAAATGCAATAAATAAATAAAATGTAAATTGATTTTTATATATATTGTTCCTTAGATGAAACATTCAAACGTATGATTTTATAAAATCATATCTACGTAACTCTATATAAAGTATCGCGCTATAAAAGTTAGAAGTTTTCAAAATTCTTTAGCATGAAAACTATTGAACACAATTTTATGAAAATTTGACTACTTTATTAGCATATACCACTTAATCAAAAACATAAATTTCGATTTAATTTCACTTCTAGTTTACGCGTTATGATGTCTTGAAAATACAATCAAAATACCAAACGTTTATTCATTTATTCTTTAAAATAATGTAGTAAAAATATTAATTATGAAAATTTTGTATATAATTGCTCAGGAAGACAGACACTGAATTTTAAAAAAAGTGATAAATAGCATTATCAAATTTCTTTAATTTATTTGCGTTAATTATAAGATAAAGACACACAGAACGTATTCATTAAACATACGATGCTGCTTCTCATAAATTTTCTAAGCACAAGAATATAGAAGTCTCTAAATATAAAAATAGATAATAAAATATATTTTAAAAACTTGAATTTCTCTTTAAAAAAAATCATTATTTATGATTTAAAAAAAACATTCTCATAAAAGTACCTTTAATCCAATAATTTAATTGTTTCATTTAAAAGTCTTCGCTTTTTTTCACAGTTTTCTTAAGTGCAATAAAAGAAGAAAAAGTGAAATAAAAATAATGAAACTGCTAAATTTCTCATTAATCACAACGAGGAATTAAAACTAATTTCTCAAGGTGTCAGAAAATGTATTGCTTGAAATATTTTTTCCAACCCCGAATTAATCGATGAAGTGGTAAAGGCACGAACGAAAGCTTAAGTTACTTAAATGATTAAATAATATATACATTATCTCAAACCTCGATATAGCGCCGTCGTCGCTTGTTCGCCTCTGAAATTGTTCACTAAATCGAGCGCGGCGATACGCCGAAGAATCTGACATAATAAAAATTGTTTAAAGTAATTTCATCTAAGCGTTTTTTAAAGGTTTCAAATTTACATAATTTAGTAAAAATAACGTTTTTTTTTGCAATGTAAAAGAAAACATTCGGTAATTCGAAAATAACGAAGGATTTTAATAGTGAATATTTACGTGGAAAATCAGTTCATGAGCATTAACTGGCGCTGTTCGGG